AACAGCACCCCTGTTTGCTATGATGCTGTCAGCTGCACAGCATCCTTGGTTGCTATGACACTGATGGCCACACAGCACCATAGTGCTGCACAGTGTAGCTGACATCGTCATAGCAACCAAGGATACTGTGTTGCCAATAGCAGGGATCTCAAGTCTCCCTGATGTTCAGGGAATCTCCCTCTTTTGGACAGCAGCTCCCTGATGTCCGCGAGAGAGGCATTTTCTCCCTGAAAGGTTTACTCTGAGTAAACCTTTCCGGTAAGATATCAGTGGGTAAGGTTTCAGAGTGAGGCTTGCCTCCTGGAGGATGGTCATGTGATCTCTAGAGTAGCCTCAGAACGAGGCTTGCCTCCTGGAGGACGGTCATGTGATCTGTAGAGTAGCCTCAGAACAAGGCTTGGCTCCTGGAGGAAGGTCATGTGATCTCTAGAGTGGCCTCAGAACAAGTGGCCTCAGTGTGTGTGTATGTGTGTGTGTATGTGTGTGTATGTGTGTATATATATTTTATCATTATTATTTCTTTTATATTCTGACGACGGCCGCTGTAAAAAAAACCCCCAAAAAACAGAAAGGAAACCTCCCTGAAATGAGACGGGAACCTCCCTGAAATAAGGTTTTGCAGGTTGGGATGTCTGCAATAGCGTCATAGCAACCAGAGATGCTGTGCAGCCCACATTTTCATAGCAACCAAGGATCCTGTGATGTCGACAGTGCCATTGGTTGCTATGACGCCATTGGTTGCACAGCATCTTTGGTTGCTATGACAGTAATGGCCACACCGCACCATAGTGCTGCACAGTGCAGCCGACAACATCATAGCAAATAAGCATGGTGTGTTGTCCACAGCTTCATAGCAACCAGAGATGCTGTGCAGGTCACATTGTCATAGCAACCAAGGATGCTGTGAGGCCAACAATGTCATTAATTGCCTTGACACTGTTGGCTGCCCAGCATCCCCTTGGTTGCTATGACACTGTCAGCTGCACAGATGGCTGAACATGCACTGAGGACTGAGTATCCCTGGTATGGACACTCTGGCCTCAGTGCCCCCCCCCCCCATGCAATACACAAGTTATTCTAACAGACACATGAATTTGTCACAGGTCCCAACATTTGTCATATAGAGGCAATTCTAAAGAGTTTCTGTGACGCTCTTTGTGAATTTCTGGGTGAATGTTTACATTTCTGCTGCCTATTTTGCCCAAAAAATTACCAAACAAAAAAGGTTGGCTTGTGTTCTAACTGGCCACTACCTTTTTAAGTGATATACAGTACATATCACCATGATTGCCCATATGTCAGATAATTGGATAAGTTGCCAATGCTTTGTATAGAAATGATCACAAGGCTGGTATTTTCATCAAGAAAAAGCATCACCCTAAAGCTGGCCATACACATTACAACCATCGCACGACTTTCGTCTTGCGATGGTTGTAGGGTAATTAAAAGCTCGGACGATCTGCCCATCTTGGACAGGCAGATCGTATTTGCGCTTGCGATGATCATTTATTTACGATTTTCGGATTTTCGGCTGGTTTTCCAACGTGCTCATAAGACAAAAGACATGCGACCGTACAGTAGAAACGGTTGCACGCCTTCCATACACCTGCCGATTATCGTACAATCGAGGGATTTCCCGTGATTATCGTACGATAATTGGCATGTGTATGGCCACCTTTAGAAAAGAGCTGATCCTCCACCACTTCACACCAAAGTCTGCTTTTTGCTTACATTCAGGAAGCTGTATTGCCTAAACTGTATGATGCGCTGTAAAGATAAATAGAAAAAAGGTCAAAGCACCACCTCCTGTCACCTGTACACAATGAACTCTAGCAGGCATAGCAGAACACTGCATGCTAGTGTGAATGGGCACTAACCTCCATTCACATATAGCGTTTGCGTTTCCCGTGCGGTTTTACTTGCGGAAGACCACACAGCACACAAACGCTAAAATCTTTAAAACTGGGCCGAGCCTTAGACATTTGTCACCGAACAAGTGTCCCCATTGGAAGATTTCTCCTCTATTCTTATTCTGGGGACAACTTACGGCCCCATTCACACCAGGGCGGAAGCGTTTCACCGTGGCTTCCGCACAATTTTTTAACCTCTTGCCGTCCGCCCGTTAAGAAAAAACGGACGGACGGCAGACTCGCATCAGCGGGTTGCCATCTCCAGACGGCATTTTTTTCCCGCTCGTTACTACAGCCGTTAACGGCTGTTTCACATACAACCGATCAGCGGCTCTACAGCCGCCGATCGGTTGTATGGCGTGAATTTCGGAGCGCCCCCCCCAATCGCGAGTGCCGCCATCTCCCCCCTCCTGACCCCTCACCTTTAATCCCGGGATCAGCTAGCCCATCTGCGGCCCGGGACCGGCTCGGGAGGGCGTCAGGAGAAGGAGGGAGGGAGATCAGCTCCTTGCTGTTCTCCCTCTGTAGTGTGAATGCAGAAGTGATGTATATTACATCACTTCCGCTTTCACCTGTCAGTCATCTGGCTCCTACTGCCAGAGAGAAGAAGCTGATGAAGCAAATATGTGCTTCATCAGCTTCTTTTGGGGTCTCCAGGTGACATTAAGGGTCTAGAGACCCCTAATGCCTCCATAAAGAGGACCTGTCAGTGTACCTGTGCTATTATATAGGGGCATGGTATCCCCCTATGTAATAGCAATAACAATAAGTGTAAAAAGAAAATCTATATAACTAAAAAAAGTTTAAAAAAATAAAAGTCACAAATAAAAAAAGTAACCCCCCCAATGTTTAAGTCCCCCCCCCTTCGCTTACGCACATATAAACGTAAATATGCGTTGCATGCGCCAGCGTGCAAAAATGACAATTGCGCTACACATGTTACATATTGAAGCGAACGTCGCAGTGAGAGCAATCATTTTAGGGCCATCAATCACTGATAACACTAAACTGATGAGCGGTAAAAGCTTTTAAAGCGTCGCCTATGGCCAATTTTTGGCAATCTAGTTTTTTTGAGGTTTCGTGCGCATGCGCAATTTTAAGGCTTGACATGTTTGGTGTCTCTTTACCCGACGTGACCCCGTCTTTTATATTTCACCAAAAAATTTGGTAATAATACATTTTTAGAATTTAATATAGGGGGAACTGTTTTTTTTAAAATAAATCTGTAGTTTTTCCTTAATATATTAAAAAATAAAAACCCCAGCGGTGAATAAATACCACCAAAATAAAGCTCTATGTGTCCCCAAAAAAGGGTATTAAATTAATTTCAGTACAGCGCTGCATGACGGAATACATGTCAGTCAAAGTACAGCAGCGCTGAATACTGAAAAATGGCCTGGACAGGAAGGGGGTTTAACACCGCGGATGTCAACTGGTTAAAGGGCGTTTTTGGGTGCTTGTAATTGCGTTTTAACTCTGAAACGCAATAAAACATTTACAAAAACGCACTGATCAGTGCGTTTCCATTGTAATCTGTATGGAAAATGTGCGAGAAAAATAGCTCAGGGAACCGCGTGATTGCATGAACGGTCCCAGCGTGGACAAATCCGCGCGACTAAACCGCCCTGGTGTGAACGGGGCCAAAAACTTTGGATTTTTCATAACTTTTTGTCTCAGTAACTGCTGTTAGATCCTGGCCGAGTGGATCTCTTTCTCCTCACTGCACGGCCATCCTGGATGACAACTCCCACCCCGTTGGCTTCAGCGCTCAATTTGGCCTCAGATCCCTGCTTAGGGTTGACACCTGTCCCTGATTCACCTGGACAGTCTGGGGTTTGAGTCCTGTATGTGCTGTTTACGGGTTTCAGGCAACTGAAACCCAAACACAGCACATACTGAACTTAAAACCTGTACTGTCCAGGTGAATCCGGGACAGGTGACAACCCTATCCCCGCTGCCCCTGCCCATACGGGCAGGGGAGAGTAACAGAGATCCAAGGAGAAGCTGCAGGCTGTGCCCCTCCTCTACTCCCTGCCGCCCTGTGTTGGCCGCCTAGTGCCCCTGTTGCCATGGCGCCCTGTCCTTCCCATGGCCCTGAAATAACAGGTGAAATTTCATTCAGTTCTATGGGCACAAGGCGGTAGTAATAGTAAAGCATGCTGTACTTTTTTTCAGTGCACACCACTGCATTCCAATTGCAACATGGTGGTGTGAATGGTGCCCATCTGTGACAAGGCAAATTTTGTTGGAAACAATAGCCAGTGCAGCCCCAACACTTGTGGTGTGAATGGCTCCTTACTTAAAAAAAAAAAAAAACTATAAAAAAAAGTTTTGCCCTGAGTTCTACTTTAAGCATATTCAGTCATCAGAATCCTATGTTTCCTGCGCTAGTGGTCCCTGTGTGATGGTGTACATCGGCAATCTAAGACAAAGCGCGTGCACGTCTAGAGGGATGCTAAGGGTGCCTAGAGCCGCAGGGTTCGCAGTCCAGCGGCGTGCACGGAGCGCGGTGTTTCCAGCCTCCTCTCCTCCCTGTACGGTGACACCAGCCCAGCTCCTCCCCTCCTGCAATGCCTGCCTGGGAATCCCGGCCCTGAAGCACACTTTGTGCCCGGGACATTTTAAAGCTTTGTAACCTGTGGACTATCCTGGCAGAGGGCCACCTAGTAGGCAGTATAAGTTCGAAACTCCCAGGCTCGGCCATTCCTGAGGGACCTGTCCTATGTGTCTTCCTCATTCCACCTCTCCCCTCCCTGCCCTTCCTTCCGCATTCACAGGGGCTGTACAGCTCCCCAGGGCGACTTTCCACACACTACCGGGACTGCAATGAAACAAGTTTGTATGACTTAGAGTAGTTTCCCCTGAACTTTGATGGAAGTGATCAATTCTTCTATTGACTGGTTTCACTTTTTTTTTAACGATTGATGTCGGTGTTTTATGTTTTTTGTTGTGTGTTCTCATCCAGTGGAACCCACATCATGATGGAGTACAATGACCTGAACTTGTGACAGTGTCACTTACTGCACCTGTTGCTGGGACACTGAACAGTGGGGGGAAGAGACACTCTGTGAATTTGGGGGGGTCCCTCTGCAGTTTGTGCTCTCGTCTCACCCATTGGTAAGGAAGGCAAAGATGAAAGTGACCGTTTGTTTTGGGAAGACTTGCATTGTTGTCCCCTGTAAGGATGGGAAGATCAGCGTGAGAGAATTGATTCAACAAGCTGCACAGAGATACATCAAAGCAAAGGAGAAAGTAAGGAATCACATTGTTTATCCTTCTGTAGAGAAATGTTTTGATTCATGTTGCTTTTTGTTTTTGCAATACGTGGGTACATGGCAAAACAGCAGAGGTAGGTCTAGTACAGGGGTCTGCAACCTGCGGCTCCGGAGCCGCATGTGGCTCTTTCATCCGTTTGCTGCGGCTCCCTGTCCAGGGGCGGAACTGCCTCGGGGCCTGAGGCTGTGGGGGGCCCGGGGGGCCCAGTGAGGTCCGAATGAGGAGCGGGGGCGAATGTCGTGGTACGGGTGTAACTGCACACTGTGTGCTGTTTTTTAATTTAATTAGAAAAGTGGATTATAATGGGCAACATTACACTGTAATGTTGCCCATTATAACCTATTTCTCTGATTAAATGATTAGACAGGTCCACTGTTCTATCAAAGTTTGTGACTAAGTTACAATGTGTGACCGGTGACGTGGTCACACATTTCAATGTAATCCCGCCCAGTTTTTTGGCAGTGGAATGTGTGACCTCCAAAAGGTCAAGCATTCCAACGCTTTCTTAGCTGTTCCAGGGCAGATCGGCCTCGCAAATCGTATGTGCAGGAGAACTGATCTGTTTACTGGAACAGCTGTTCGGTCCTGAAATGTCACTTCTATCCGAGTTTGTGAATGGGGTAGAATGTCAGATCGCACTCAGTCGGATAGAAGTGACATTTCAGGACCGAACAGCTGTTCCAGGGCAGATCAGTTCTCCTACACATACGATCTGCGATGCCGATGTGCCATGGAACAGCTGAGAAAGCGTTGAAATGTTTGACCTATTGGTGGTCACACATTCCACTGCCAAAAAACTGGGCGGGATTACATTGAAATGTGTGACCATGTCACCGGTCACACATTGTAACTTAGTCACAAACTTTGATAGAACACCACCATCAATGGTGTACGGCCGGTACCCATGTGAGGGGTCTGGGCAGCCTGGGGGGCCTCTTACATGTGTATCAGCTGTACCAGGGGCGGCATGGCAGAGGTGACAGGGTGGGGGGTAGAGGAGGCCAGGCCCCAGCAGCAGGAGGTACAGGGAAAGGGACCCCGGTGACCAACCCACCTAAGGCCCTGCAGAGCCCACCATAGAGAGTCTCAGATGGGCTGTGCAGGATCTATGGTGGGCTCTGCAGGGTCTTAGGTGAGTCCAGTGCGTTACTAAGCCCACATATACCTATATACATGCTATACATAGCATACAGGTAAAAAACGATATATGCAGTGCTATCTTCATTTTGGATGTCAAAAGGGTTTTATGGCTCCCGGTGTTTTCTTTTCCGTGGGAAACGGGTCCAAATGGCTCTTTGAATGTTTAAGGTTGCTGACCCCTTGTCTAGTAGGACTGCTTGAAAACCTGTTGATACATGTTGGCTCGTTCACACTATCCCACAAGATAAGGCACTGAATTTGGGGTCTGTGTGGGGTCCT